AGAGATGATATATAAGATTTGTTTTCTTATTAATTGAGGGTATTTATGTATATATACTAATTATTTTAATTTATTTATATTAATTTATTCAGTTAAAGGACCTATGCCTATATACATCTAACAACTAGGATCTCTTCCTATATAAGTTCAAAATAAGGGGTGTCTAGCAAATTTCCCCGTATTCAAAATATGACAATTTTAATAAAATTTGTGATATTTTAATAAAATAAAACCAAGTTTTAAAAATTAATTTATGTATATAAAAATAAACAAACTAATACAACTCATAACATAATCAAACATTATAAAATATTACATAAGATAGCATGATTTAAAATTTAATTAATCAAGAGTTATATATGATTTATTAATTAAAATATATAAATTTTGATTTTTTTTAATTTATTTTTTAATGTTAATAATGAAAATTATAATTTAATATTTGGAGAGCTATGTTAGAGAGTACCAAAATGTACCCATTGGAGCAAAAAAAACAAGGCGAAATTAGTATATGGACATAAACACCATCAATTAATAAGAAAACAAATCTTATATATCACACATTCTCTCTCTTTCTCTCTATCTCCAATCTTAAGTTTCTTTTTTTCCTATATAACCTCTCGTCTTTCTCTCCCTTTTCATCTCGCGTCTCTCTCTTTTTTCTGATTTTTTTCCTTCTCATCAACATCTTTTCAATTTTTTTTCCGATCAACTACTTTCTTTCTCTTTACCCCTTTCTCGACCACATCTGTTCGATTTTTTCCCCCTTTGGAATTCTAATATTTTTGGGATTATGTTGTAGAAAAGGAAAAAAAGTGGGAGCTTTACATTATTAGATGATATTTCGGTGAAAGAGTTAAAAGCGGACAACAAACATAAATGGCTCGTTGCTTGAAAAAAGTGAGTTATTTTTTTTTTTTACTTTTCTCGTTTTGTATTATTTGTAGTGAGTTTATAATGTATGTTTGTAATTGATTTTGATTCAACAGATAGCAAAAAAAAAATGAAACGGCAAAATCAAATTACAACATTAAACATAAACTACAAATAACAACCTATAACAGTAGATTTTTTTGCAAACTGCAAATTGCAATTTTTGCATTAACACAGTATTTTTTATAATTTATTGTTGTTTTTTGTATTTTTATGATATGTATAATTTTTTTTGTTTTGTATTTTTTTTTTTTTTTATTTGCATTTAGGTATTGCATATCATATTTTCATTTGTTGTTTGGAATTAGATGATGCATGTTTTCTTTTTTCTTTTTGAGTTTGTTGTTTGCATATACGAATTCAAAGGTAGTTTGTTGGTTGAAATTCAATAATGCAAATTTTAATTACTAGTTTGCTATTTGCATTTCACATAGTCATAAGCGGTGGCTCGGCGGCTGCGGCAGTGGCGCGGAGGTGGTGATTTTTTTACAACCTGAGTTTGTACAATAAATACTATATTTTTTCTTTTACGAATTCATTTTGTTTTAGTAAAGTTTGGAAGAGAGAAGTTTGGGGAAATTGATTTAGTTGAGAGATTTTGAGGGATTTAATTTGATTTGATTAAGGAGGTGCTAAATCCCACACTAAAAGTTACTAAATCCTGCACATAAATAAAAAATATTCTCTCTCTACAATTTTTTTTTTCTGACTTCTCTCTAACTTCTTTCTAGGGTTTTCCACACAGAAAGTTACTAAATCTCACACATGAAGAAATATTCCCTCTTTACAAAAAAATATTTTCTCTGTACGCTCTATTTTCTCGATTTCTCTCCAACTTTTTTCTAGGGTTTTCAAAATACTAAGAAGTCGTCAAAAGTCGTTTTTTGTTACGTAATAATTATCAAATAATGAGTTCAATACCTTCTAAAGACAATCCACTTCAACCGGATGTAAGATTTTAATTTTTTTTACCAAAAATCCGTCATACGCATAGGGCACCTGGAAGACGAAACAGATAGCGCGCACATGTTGGGCGTGCAGTACACTATATTTCCAAGGTGGGCGTTGTCTTTGATGCCCCCGCTTCTACTTTAGATGCGATCCGGGTTTTTTTTTTTTGATATATATAGTTTTTGTTATATTTTTTTTTCAGGATAATGGGGAAGTTGACTATTCTTAATATTTTCAAGGAGTACAATTGTTTAATTGTAGAGCCGATTTCAATACAGTGGGCGAGAGATATAGCTGAAAGTCATGGCATTAAGCTAAGTATAGGTCATACTTTTTGTGATACAGTATACGTTATTTGTGATCGGTTTGAGAAAAAACAGGTGAAACGAAAGAATAGAGGTGTAGAAAATACAAAATGTACTAGCACGAAAAAATGTAATTGTGGTTTCCAGTTGAAGGGGGCTCTACAAGCAGAGGATAAATGGGAATCTCTATAATTTACGGGAAGCATAATCATTATCCTCCGGCTTCGAAGCATGGTCTTTATAAAGTATTAAAATTTTATTAATCATTAAATATTTATTAAAAATTTAAGAAATAATTAAATTGATATAAAATATATATATATATATATATATATATATATATATATATATATATATATATATATATATATATATATACTGTTTTTTAACCCAGCCGTCCTTACCCAACATTTAAAGGGCATCTCCTATGAAATGGGGGAGGGGTGGGGGTGGGGTCGGGCTGAAGTGTTTAGTGAGTAGGGGGTAGGGCTGGGGTGGCAGGTGGGATGAATTGAGCCCAAGCATAAACTTTGGGCTCTCACGCGCCTCTCTCCCACGTGAATTTCACGTTCTATTGCTCCTTTTTTTTTCTTTTTCCTTCTCTTTCCACGTTAGCATTTTCTTTTTAGTTTTTTTCTTTTGTTTCTTTGTATCTTTTCTTTATTTATTTTAATTTAGTTCTTTCTTTTTTCTTTTTTGTTTCTTTCTTTTTTCTTTATTTGTTTTCATTTTATTATTAGTTTCTTTTATTTTACTTTAGTTTTCTCAATTTTTTTCTCTAATTCGATCTTTTTAATTTAAATAGTAATTTTATTGTAAATATTCTATTAATTATATTAACATTACGTGTTATTATATTACAAAGCATAGTTAAAAAATGAAAATATAATTAATAACTTAATATTAGCATAACATAATTTAGAAAATCAAATACTCAAATTTATAGGTAAACACTTAAATATAACTATTACATAAATTTATAATTAAACACTTAAATATACTTATTATTATTATTATTATTATTATTATTATTATTATTATTATTATTATTATTATTATTATTATTATTATTATTATTATTATTATTATTATTATTATTGTTATTATTATTATTATTATTATTATTATTATTATTATTATTTTTATTATTATTATTATTATATGGTGGAAGTGGTGATGGAAAAAATTGGAAGAAAGAGATTAATCGGTTGGACGAGAAATGGGTTGGGGTCGGAGTCGGGAGAGGAGGAGCCGCCCCCATCGACACGAGATGCCATAAGAATTAATTTATTTGAAAAGAAAAAAAAAACGCATCAGCGCTTCCAAACCACCATCCCCTCCCAAAGTAATAAGCGAGAGATTTCGCCTTTTTGGTGCAAGATTGAATTGAATTAAAAAAATAAAATAATAAAATAATAATAAAACAAATAAAGAGAGAGAGAAGAGAGATGAAAAAACTATTGCGCTGCTACCTCAGACGCGCCCTCCTTCCCCGGATAAAAAACCCACACACCCTGCTTAATTTGTAGAATTAATTTGAGATAGAATGATTACCTTGATTGTAAAATAAATTTGAGAAGTTTTTCTTCAAGTTTGAATTTCGAATTATTATATTGTTTTTATGATGTTTTTGTGCAAGCATGAGAGGAAAAAAAAAACTTGTTTGGGGGAGAGAAAAAGACCGACGTTTGAGATTTTAGAGAGAGAAGAAAATTTTATTATGTGTAGGATTTAGTAATTTTTGTGTGGGATTTAGCATTTGGATTTGATTAAAGGTATTCCTACGATAATAAATATAATTAATTTATTAAAATATGGAGACTTTGACTTGAATCTATTCACATAACTTATAATATAGGATGACCTATAGCAAATTGCCCCAAAAAAAATTGGAGAGTGTATAAATAGGACCCAAGTCTTAGAGAGGAGTTAAGGAGGATGAATGTGAAAATATGGCATGTGGACCCCATAGCTTGGAGAGTGGATTTGGAGAGAAAAAAAAATCAAAATCTATATATTTTAATTAATAAATTATATGTGACTCTTGATTAATTAAATTTTAAATCATGCTAACTTATCTACTATTTTATAATGTTTGACTATGTTATGAGTTGCATTATATATACATAAATTAATTTTTAAAACTTGGTTTTTATTTTATTAAAATATTACAAATTTTATTAAAATTATCATATTTTTAATGTATTGATTGACAAAGCTTGTTACTTAATTATAATTATTATTATTTAAAATAATATAAATGAAAAGAAATAAGAAAATAATAAAAAATGAGAAGGGAACACATGGTCCCATCATATGCTCGTTAAACCACTGCTAACTGTGGCGAGGCATCTAGCAATTCTCCAAATTTGGGGAGTCACAAACAGCCATATTTGATATTTCACCACTGCAGCACCACTCTCTCCAAATTTTGGAGAGAGGTAAAAATCTAACACTAGCAATGCCTTTAGAGAGTCTAATGAAGAGTGGCCAAACAATATATCTTTGGGACTTTTTGTTATTTACTTTTGCACATGACATGAAGTTAACATTTGAATTTGGGTTCTTTTTCTTCATCTTTATGATGGCGGAGTTATTTAAAATTTTCTCTTCAATATGGCCATTTTTAATATCACGTATTTAAATTATTGTTTTTATTATTTTTGGAATTATACCCGTGCATCGCACGGGCAAAAATACTAGTTTAATATAAATTTAAGTATATTTCAAAATTGATGAGCCATTTGATGTTCGTCGTTGGAGTTGACTCTAAAGTTAGATAAGAGGGTTTTTAGTACCTTGAAAACAAAATGGTCTGAAAACAAAGTACCAATAACATTGTTCTGCTTGTAGTAATTGAGTTCTTAAAAAGGCGCTACCACTCATCAACTACCAAAGCATCACTTCTAACAAAAGTTAAAAGGAACAATGTAGTTTCCACACTGCTTGAAGAAAAGGCAAAAAAAAAAAAAAAAAGGAAAACTTTGTTCACACATTTGCCGGTCCTAAAACCAAGTTGCACTATCTTTATTTCCTTGGCATTACAAATAACTTATAATCTCGATATCTGAAGAGGAACGTTAGCCTCGACAAGATCCTCCCGACAGGCAACGACAGAAACTCTTTCCAGACCCCCGAGCCTCTGCATAAGATGCATTTGACAGTTTTCAGCAGCCATTATTCCAGCAGAATACGCGCCGTGTACCGATCCTTGATGATCAACGCTTACAGCTTCACCTCCAAAGAAAAGATTCCCCACTGGTGCACGAAGCCTGTCGTATATATCCTCTGTATTCCCCACAGCATCGTACGAATAGCATCCCAAAATGTTTGGATCTGTTCCCCAATGTGATACAAGGTACTGCACCTGTTGTAATAACATTTTTATAGTTAAATTAAAGAATCAAAATCGGTGTAATTTTGGACCCATCGATATTCCAGGAGAGAGCGGAAAATAAGAAACGGCAATTATGCATTATAATAATTAGGGTAAATTACAAAAACCCCCCGAACTTAGGGTAAATAACGAAAAACACCCCATCTATTCATAATTACCAAACTCGATCAACAGTTAATTAGAGGGGGATTTTGGTTATTACAGATAGGTGGAGATGGTTTTTTGTTATTTAGCCTAAATTCAGGGGGGTTTTCGTAATCTACCCAAATAATTAAAATTCCCAAGGACTTCCAAGAAGCTGCTATAACAATAGATAAAAGAATAAACTTACAGGGTTAGTTGCATCAGGAAACATTTGCTTAAGCTGTGACATTACAAAACCGACAGCAGCTTCATCTGATAGCTTCTCAAGGTCATCCGCAAGTGCTCCAGCTGCCATATAGACAAGGACGGGATTGCCTGTAGCCTTGTGGAGATTAAGAAAATAGCCACACGAATAAGACGTTTTCGCAACCACGCCCAAATATTCCACATTTGGCCAAAAAACATTATCAAATTTTAAGGCAATTTTATTCTCATTTCCCACACCAAGATCTGATATTGCAGACTGCTTCCACTCTGGCAACTTAGGCTCGAACTCAATCAAGTTGGATTTTAGAATTCCCAATGGCACTGTGACAATAGCAGCATCTGCAACGAAGTTTCTCCCATCTTCAAGTGTTACTACCACCTTCTTATACCCGTTCACAATTTTTACAACTCTGTATTTGAAATTAACAGGGAATTAATGCTGAGACCGATAAATCATTAATTTAAGGCAATTTTATTCTCGGTAGTTTCAAATCTAGTGAAACCGATAAATTCATGCTTGATCAAACAATCTAGTTATTTATTAAGAAAAACTAATCACGCAAAGTGCACGCATACCGGTGATTTAAGCGAATATCAATATCTCTTGAGAGGGCCTTTATGACTGGATCGTACCCTTGCACCATAAGCCCATGACCACCAGAAAGAACTCTCTCCTGAACACGAAGAAAAGTCAACAATGAGATCAACAAACAATAGTTGCATAAGTATCAGTCAAACTTGACCAAGACAAGCCCATTAACTACGAACCGACATTTGAATTATATGTTTACATAATGGAACATTTTCATTATTCTTTGGAGCGATCATCACATACAGCTGTAGTACACCTGATGTCCAATAACAGTAACTTAAGAAAATGTGAGCAGAAGCATGCATGCCCAATCATGCCAGAACATGACGTTATAAAATGAATAAATGGCTAGAAACATGTGATATTCAAATCCATGAAGAAATATTATCGAGGAAAGTATATATTAACTTCTCATTCAGCATAAAAAAATCACATTTGCATCGAATTTAATACAACTTCATCACTTTCTGGTGGCTCAAAAAAGATGTATCCAAAGTAAAAGCAGTTCACATAAAATATATTACAAGGAAAAATACATAAGAAAAAGTATATAAAACTTGCCTGGTCCCACGCTTTCAGAGATATCATGTCTGCATCAGCAGCAAACCAAGCCTCCATTCTACAAATGTACCACTGCAACACTTCACATGCGACGCCTTCTTGTCTGATGACACACAAATAACAACAGTTAGATATAAAATTCTATATTTAGAATTCGAACCTGAGAAACTAAAGCATTGAATTCTATCCGGTACCTTAAATCTGGATATCTATCCAGCACGATTGATATTGCTTCCTTCACAGATATGTCGTCGGTTTGTTCATCCCTCACTTTATCCGTCTACAAGAGAAAGCATTATCAGCATCCTTGTTGCATATAGAATGTTCAGTTCACTATATATTTAGAGATATTGCTTACCTCGTCAAGGATTTTCTGAAATGCAACTCCAACTTCAATAACCATTTTCTTGGGAACTTGATGTCCATTTATGTCAAAGAGTGCATAACTGCAAAAATCAAAACCAAAAATCAAAAAGTTGTACACTTTTGCTAATGCAGAAACAACCAGAAAGTTTTTCATATGCTCCTTATCAATGATTCAATTCTATTGAATTAAAAAAAAAAAGAAAAAAAAAAGAAGCTTAATGAACTTTCAAAAAGTAATATTCACGTATTAAAAAGAAACAATGTTAAAGTAATATCAAGCCATTAGGTGTGTAAAAAAAAAAAAAAAAAAAGGTCTATATTCACTCAACCAAACTTCAAGGACTATAGAACCTAGAAGAGGAATCAGATGTTAAGTTAGCCAGAACAAAGAGTCTACTAGTGGATAATACGACCAGCAGATATCAAACTAAATTAACCAATACGAGCAAATGATATATCTTGATACAGTTAAAACAGCAGCACAAAAATGTAGAACTGTTCCATACCTTTCCAAGTCGTGGTCATACAGAATGGAGTCATCACCACTTGTACGATACAACGTGAGCCCCAAACGACGTATCACGTGAGACAAAGGATTCTCATTGCAGACACCATGCAACCTGAATATTTTCAAACAAAACCCCAACATCTTGTAAGAATTATGATAACACACATAAAGACCAAGCAAAATACTGCACGGATAGCTTTTTCAGTATTGATTGTTAAGAAATCCAAATTCCTGCATGGAGCCAATCAAACGAGAGAACTTCAATTTATCGTCATATATGTAATCCTATGCCTCATGAAGACATGTTGGAGCTCCAAATTGATTAACAGGAAATGAAAAGGTGGATGCTTTGTGCATTTTCACATTATTATACATAGCAGTAGTGGTTCAAGATTAGATTTCCGAAATAGTTACTTGTAAGAAGGATATATTTTAAAGAAAACTTCCGTTGTAGGATTATTTCCTGAAACATAGGAGAAACAAGTCTGATACTCACTTGGTACTTCAACTGTTTTACACAGAAGCACTTCAAATTATAAACGAGACACAGAAGAAAATGTTAGATGCGGGAATGGATACAGTTTTACCAATAACATCTATTGGAAGCATAGTGATCCATTTTTCTGGAAATTATATTCAAGCAAGTATTTACTGACAAAAATCTTTATAATAGTTTATCCCTGAAAACAAATTAAGAGCTTACATCAAGCTGTATTCTTGGTCAGTTGATAAAATTATTAAACTGTTTCTCCAGTTGCTAAGAAGAAACAATTGTTTCTTTTAATTTTTTTCTTGGTGGGGTAGGTACGGAAGGGAAATTAAGGCCAGTCTAGAAAAATATGATTTTTTTTGAAACATAACATCAAGAGTAAACAAAGCAGTATAAAGTATCAAATCAAAACATGAGAATCACAGAACATATTTATCATTCAGAAAAAAATGTCTCGAAAAGGCAAAACATAAAATTACCAGGAAGCTCCCATGTCAACTGGGCAACCAAATGAGTAATCGGTGTGAATGCGCCCACCAATTCTATCTTGCGACTCCATCACGATCACCTGAATAAAAAAAATAGATCCACATCAGCAATGAAACATACATAAAACAACTCTAATGCTAACAACCATAGTAATGATTTCGGCATTATTAACCTTAAAAGATGCATTACGCAGCATGCGTGCAGCTGCAATCCCTGATATTCCTCCACCGATGACGATGACAGAAGGCAGTGCATTGTGTGGCCTCTCTACAAGGGAGCCGTAAATGCCTAACAGCCATAAGACAATTGGTTAAAAGCACGGTAACAAATATTTGCATCACTTTCCAAGAAACAAAAATAAAGTTGCAGCTGTTTTCTGCCTTTCACTACGAGAACAATTAAAAAAATTAACTCAAACGAGATATGTCGAGAGCTGGAATACTTTTATATGCCTACATTTTTAGCAGAGTTATTAACTGTGACAATGATATCTTCTTTCTTTAGCAAGCAAGGAACAAGGAAAGTAGTTGACAATCTACAATAATTTTCACAATGCCAATTTTTTTTTTTTTAAATTATATATAACTAATTAATTATAATAAACAAATAATCTGGCAAAATTTTATTAATAGTTTAATACCAAATAAAGGGAAGGGTGAGTGAAATTAAAACTTGTTTATCAGATGATCATCTAACAAAATTTAGTTTTACAATATCCAGATTATACAATCTCGTCCGAGAATAAAATTTTCAACACAATCAATAATTAGCAAATTAAATCTAATCAAATATTCTATAATCAATCAACAACCACATCAAACAGTAACACCATAAAAAATCATATCCAACCAAACAGCAAAAATTCAGAAAAAAAAAAACCACTTACAAAAAATAAAAAAGCTGAGTTTCAACACTAACCATCAAAAAACTCGCCGGAGATCGAATCGTCGCCATATTTGACTTCCATTAATCGACAACTGAAAATACCTATCTCTCTCTCTATCTCTACCTCTCTCTCTCACAAACAAATTCAGAGAACCCTAACTGGGAATGAAAATTGATGGAGAACCAAATCTGATCTTACCAACAACAATTTTTCAAAAAAAAAAAAACGAAAAATTACGGGTGTATAGGAATCGGAAAATTAGAAATCAATTGGGAAGAATGAAAGAGGAGGAAAAGCAAAAGTCCGGCAATGAGGCGGCTGAGACTGGAAGCGCAGCGGAGGTTATCGTCAAACAAGCTCATAATAATCATAATAGCAACAATTGCAGGAGCTGCATTCACGGCAACAACCAGAAGATTCAATTACACCAACCGATGAATTCTTCGTCCTCGGTTGCATAGATTGGCTCTCCCCCTACTTTCTCTCTCTCTCTCTCTCTACCACCGTCTGTCTCTCTCTCTCTCTCTAGAAATTTGTTTGTTAGGCAGAAGAAAAAAGGCTGGTTGTCCGGATTAACTTAAAGAGGAGACGTAGGGGTACGCGGTTTGTTGTTTGTGCATGATATTTTTCTGTTCGGCTAGGGGTAAATTCGGGATTTTTATTGTTAGATGAATTGAATATACAGGTAGGATCCAGAGACCAACCAAGTGCCCATTATCTGCTCCGGGTAGATACTTTCGGCTTTTTGAATTCCGTATTAGAGTTCTACTCAACTTGCACTTCCCTTTTCATTTTCTTTTTATTCCGAAAAAAAGCCCAGGTAAATTCCACTTTTTCACTTTACTTTGGTTCGATATTACTTTACATTTTCTACTCTCAATTGCATCGATTTGCCTCATGAACTTGAAGGATTGTTTCGACGTGGCCATCGCCGTTAGTTTTCAGACCTTTGACCTTAACACCGTTTGATCTAATTCTGAAAATTACAAAAAAATCACCCCTCCCAGTTTAAATAATTATTAAAAAATTAAAAAATAAAAAAAAATGTGGTTGTCGACGTGGACTATGTTTTCTCGTTGTCTTGAATTTTTTTTTTTTTTTTAATTTTTTTTAATAATTATTTAAATGGAATCGCGTTTTGGTAATTTCAAAGCTTAGATCAAACGGTGTTAATGTCAAATGTCTCACAACTAACAGCGAGGGCCATATAGAGATAATTTTTCAAGTGCAGGGGGGCAAATTCGATGCGATCGAGAGCAGAAGGAAGTAAAGTGATACCGAGCCAAAGTGCAAGGAGAAAAGTGGAAGTTACCCAATTAACACTACTTTAGTATTGGGGCTCTTTGAGGAAAACTCCTCAAACGTGGGTCTATTGGAATTTGGAACAAATCCAATGTTAAATATTAAAATTGAATTATAAAATATTTATTTAATACTTGAAATAATATTTTAAAATTCATTTAAAATTTATCTACTCAAACCATAGTTATCAAATTAATTATTAATTGGAAGTGTGTGGGTGATTTTATTTGTAATTATCACATGTCAACAGTCGATTGAGTCCACAATGATATCTGTGTGTTCTTTCTTTGTTTGATTTATCTATATGGCTTGTTACTGTCCGTGGACTTAAATTCACAACATTTATTTTTAAATTACAGAAATTAAATTACATAATTTAATATAGAATTAAAGATTGGGCAAATGGCAAAAAGGCCCATCACATGGTACTTAAATGCATTTTAGTCCACAAAAAAAAACAGTTTCTCAATTAAGCCCATCCCCATGTCTTTAGTCTAAAATAACCTCAATAATATAATTCTTAACAATTCCACCCATTATGCTCTAACTTCCTTAATATTACACATTGACCCCGGATTTAAACAAATATATCACATTAACCCCCAAAACTTTTTTTTTTCAGAAAATAATTTTTTTTCTGAAATGTTTTTTTTCCGGCCAGATTCCGGCGTTGACCGCCGGAGACCGCCGGTCTCCGGCGTTGACTTTTTTTTTTTTTTAATTTTTTTTTTCCTGAATTTTTTTCCGGCCGGTCAACCACCGTTGACCGCCGATCTTCGGCGTTGACTTTTTTTTTTTAATTGTTTTTTCTTAGAAAAAAAAATTTTAATTAATATTACTGTCTTCACTACTAAATTACTGTCTCTGACAGTAATATTACTGTTTGGGACAATAATATTATGAATATTATTTTTCCGAACAGTAATATTATTAATATTATTGTCTAAGACAGTTAAATTACTGTTGGAGACAGTAATTTAACATCCAAGACAGTAATATTAATTAAAATAATTTTTTTTGTAAGGAAAAATATCAAAAAAAAAAAAAAGTCAATTAACAGTTAAATTACTGTCTCCGACAGTTAAATAACTGCTGGAGACAGTAATTTAGCAACGAATACGTAATATTAATTAAAAATATTTTTTTCAAGAATAAAAAAGTCAATTAACAGTTAAATTATTGTCTCCGACAGTTAAATAACTGATGGAGACAGTAATTTAGCAACGAATACAGTAATATTAATTAAAAATATTTTTTTTAAAAATAAAAAAGTCAATTAACAGTTAAATTACTGTCTCCGACAGTTAAATAACTGCTGGAGACAGTAATTTAGCAACGAATACAGTAATTTTAATTAAAATATTTTTGAAGAAAAAAAAAAACAGTCAATTAACAGTTAAATTACTGTCTCCGACAGTTAAATAGCTGCCGGAGACAGTAATTTAGCAGCCAAGACAGTAAAATTAATTAAAATATTTTTTTAAGAAAAACCAAATTTATTAAAAAAAAAAAAGTCAACGACGGGGACCCGGCGATCTACGCCCGTTGACCGGCCGAAAATATTTTCAGGAAAACAAAAATTCAAAAAAAAAAAAAAAAAAAAAATTCAACGCCGGAGACCGGCTGTCTCCGGCGGTCAACGCCGGAATCTGGCCGGAAAAAAAATATTTCAGAAAAAAAATTTATTTTCTGAAAAAAAAAGTTTTGGGGGTTAATGTGATATATTTGTTTAAATCCGGGGTCAATGTGTAATATTTTAGAAGTTAGAGCATAATGGGTGGAATTGATAAGAATTAGGGTTAAAATTGGGGTCAAAATTGAAATTAGGGTTAAAATTGGTTAATTGATGAAATTGGGCTAAATTGGGGTGTAAATTATGAAATTGGAGTTGAATTGGGTTTCAATGAATTGGGGGTAATTTTGGTACATATAAAAGAATTTTCCTTATTTGCAAATAAGTTTGAATGGGGTGGATTTATTTGAAAGACAAAAAAGTTGGATGTCCCTCTTTTAATAAGTGTTCTTGTCATGGGCTTTTTTGTGATTACCCCTTAAAGATTTGATGACTCCCAAATCTTGAACGAACTTAATGGTAAGAATACGATAAAGTTAAGATATTAACCTTATAAAATCTAAAGAATAAAGCTTTCAACACCAAAGCCATCTTTACTTTTTCTATCATTGGGTGCCCTCATTTGTTTTTTGGTTTCATGACAATGATTGATATAATGTTGTTTAAGTTATATTCTATTACCAAAGTATCAAAATGGGCCTACAAATAGTCACTTTGTTGTAAAACATTGAAAGTTCAGAGTGAATAATTCAAAATCCGCATATTGACCAATCCGGCCCAACCCGTTGACCATAGACCCGTGAATTGTCTCATGGACGAAGGATCGGTTACGGGTTACTAACTATCCCACACAGCCGTCGGTATGCCCGCTCGTCGGGCTGCTAATTTCCTTGTCTTGCCAGCCGGTCGTGCCACGCATGTCGATTATAGCCCCATGCTTGTCTGCACCGGCGGAACATGTAAGGGGCATGGGCGGACCGTTGACCCCCAAGAATTTTTTTTTTTAGATATTTGGTACTAAATTTTTTGAATATTATTTTTGACCCCCCAAAGTTTTTGTAAATATTTATCTTGACCCATTATATTTTTGGTTTTTTCTCCAAAATCTTATATAAATTATAGATAAATAATCATATTTAATATAAAATATAAAATAAGATGGTTAAAACTTGTATTAGTTTAAATAAAATTTATGAATATTACTTATTTTTGAATTTTTTTATCTAACGCCTTCAAAATAAAAGATGAGATCGTGCCATGAATCTCCGAAATATTATGTGCAGCTATTATTAGAATAATTTGAATTAATTTAGATTTTTTTATGATGATTAAAATATGATATATATATATATATATATATATATATATATATATATATATATATATATATATATATATATACATTATATATATAAGATATTTTAATAAAAAAATATGTATATAAACTTATTTTTCGCAATGTTTTATTTAACCC